CTTTTTTTCTTTGCGCTGATAGCTTTGATGGAATGTTCTGACGGTCGTGAGAGAGCAGCACGACTGCCTCCGTGGCGCAATCGGCTTAGCGCGTTCGGCTGTTAACCGAAAGGTTGGAGGTTCGAGCCCTCCCGGGGCGTGTTCGCTTTCTTTTTTCTTTGCGCTGATAGCTTTGGAGAATGTTCTGACGGTGGTTAAGAGCAGCCGACTTGCCTCCGTGGCGCAATCGGATAGCGCGTTCGGCTGTTAACCGAAAGGTTGGAGGTTCGAGCCCTCCCGGGGGCGTTGTCTCGCTTCTTTTTTCTTTGCGCTGATAGCTTTGATAGAATGTTCTGACGGTCGTGAAGAGAGCAGGACGATTGCCTCCGTGGCGCAATCGGATAAGCGCGTTCGGCTGTTAAGCCGAAAGGTGGGAGGTTCGAAGCCCCTGCTTGGGTGCGTTGTCTCGCTTCTTTTTTCTTTGCGCTGATAGCTTGATAGAATGTTCTGACGGTCGTGAGAGAGCAGGACGATTCGCCTCCGTGGCGCAATCGGATAGCGCGTTCTGGCTGTTAAAAACCGAAAAGGTTGGGAAAAAAAGGTTCGAGCCCTTCCGGGGGCGTTTCCTCGCATTCTTTTTCTTTGTCGCTGATAGCTTTGATAGAATGTTCTGAACGGTCGTGAGAGAGGCAGGGACGATTGCCTCACGGTGGGCGCAATCGGATAGCGCGTTCGGCTGTTAAAAACCGAAAGGTTAGAGGTTCGAGCCCTCCCGGGGGCGTTGTCTCGCTTCTTTCTTTTCTTGCGCTGATAGCTTTGATAGAATGTTCTGACGGTCGTGAGAGAGCAGGACGACTGCCTCCGTGGCGCAGTCGGCTAGCTCGTTGGGCTGTTAACCGAAAGGTTGGGGGTTGGAGCCCTCCCGGGGGCGGTGTGTCGCATTTTTTCTTTGCGCTGATAGCTTTGGAGGAATGTTCTGACGGTCGTGAGAGAGCAGGACGGACGATTGCCTCCGTGGCGCAATCGGCTAGCGCGTTCGGCTGTTAACCGAAAGGTTGGAGGTTCGAGCCCTCCCGGGGGCGTTGTCTCGCTTCTTTTTTCTTTGCACTGATAGCTTTGATAGAATGTTCTGACGGCCGTGAGAGAGCAGGACGATTGCCTGCGTGGCGCAATCGGCTAGCACATTCGGCTGTTAACCGAAAGGTTGGAGGTTGGAGCCCTCCCGGGGGCGTTGTCTCGCTTCTTTTTTCTTTGCGCTGATAGCTTTAATGGAATATACTGACGGTCGTGAGAGAGCTGGACGATTGCCTCTGTGGCGCAACCGGAGAGCGCGTTCGGTTTTTAACCGAAAGGTTGGAGGTTCGAGCCCTCCCGGGGGCGTTGTCTCGCTTCTTTTTTCTTTGCGCTGATAGCTTTGATAGGAATGTTCTGACGGTCGTGAGAGAGCAGGACGATTGCCTCCGTGGCGCAATCGTCTAGCGCGTTTCGGCTGTTAACCGAAAGGTTGGAGGTTCGAGCCCTCCCGGGGGCGTTGGCTCGCTTCTTTTTCTTTGCGCTGATAGCTTTGATAGAATGTTCTGACGGTCGGTGAGAGAGCAGGCACGATGCCCTCCGTGGCGCAATCGGATAGCGGCGTTCGGCTGTTAACCGAAAGGTTGGAGGGTCGAGCCCTTCCGGGGGCGTTGTCTCGCTTCTTTTTCTCTTTGCGCTGATAGCTTGATGGAATGTTCTGACGGTCGGTGAGAGAGCATGGCACGATCGCCTCCGTGGCGCAATCGGATAGCGCGTTCGAGCTGTTAACCGAAAGGTGGAGGTTCGAGCCCTCCCGGGGCGTTGTCTCGCTTCTTTTCTTTGCGCTGATAGCTTTGGAGAAATGCTCTGACGGTGGCAAGAGAGCAGCACGACTGCCTCCGTGGCGCAATCGGATAGCGCGTTCGGCTGTTAACCGAAAGGTTGGAGGTTCGAGCCCTCCCGGGGGCGTTGTGTCGCTTTTTTTTTCTTTGCGCTGATAGCTTTGGAGAAATGCTCTGACGGTGGCAAGAGAGCAGCACGACTGCCTCCGTGGCGCAATTGGCTTGCTCGTTGGGCTGTTAACCGAAAGGTTGGAGGTTCGAGCCCTCCCGGGGGCGTTGTGTCGCTTTTTTTTCTTTGCGCTGATAGCTTTGGAGAAATGCTCTGACGGTGGCAAGAGAGCAGCACGACTGCCTCCGTGGCGCAATTGGCTTGCTCGTTGGGCTGTTAACCGAAAGGTTGGAGGTTCGAGCCCTCCCGGGGGCGTTGTGTCGCTTTTTTTTTCTTTGCGCTGATAGCTTTGGAGAAATGCTCTGACGGTGGCAAGAGAGCAGCACGACTGCCTCCGTGGCGCAATTGGCTTGCTCGTTGGGCTGTTAACCGAAAGGTTGGAGGTTCGAGCCCTCCCGGGGGCGTTGTGTCGCTTTTTTTTCTTTGCGCTGATAGCTTTGGAGAAATGCTCTGACGGTGGCAAGAGAGCAGCACGACTGCCTCCGTGGCGCAATTGGCTTGCTCGTTGGGCTGTTAACCGAAAGGTTGGAGGTTCGAGCCCTCCCGGGGGCGTTGTGTCGCTTTTTTTTCTTTGCGCTGATAGCTTTGGAGATATGTTCTGACGGTGGCAAGAGAGCAGCACGACTGCCTCCGTGGCGCAATTGGCTTGCTCGTTCGGCTGTTAACCGAAAGGTTGGAGGTTCGAGCCCTCCCGGGGGCGTTGTGTCGCTTTTTTTTCTTTGCGCTGATAGCTTTGGAGAAATGTTCTGACGGTGGCAAGAGAGCAGCACGACTGCCTCCGTGGCGCAATTGGCTTGCTCGTTGGGCTATTAACCGAAAGGTTGGAGGTTCGAGCCCTCCCGGGGGCGTTGTCTCGCTTTTTTTTCTTTGCGCTGATAGCTTTGGAGAAATGTTCTGACGGTGGCAAGAGAGCAGCACGACTGCCTCCGTGGCGCAATTGGCTTGCTCGTTGGGCTGTTAACCGAAAGGTTGGAGGTTCGAGCCCTCCGGGGCGTTGTGTCGCTTTTTTTTTCTTTGCGCTGATAGCTTTGCAGAAATGCTCTGACGGTGGCAAGAGAGCAGCACGACTGCCTCCGTGGCGCAATCGGATAGCGCGTTCGGCTGTTAACCGAAAGGTTGGAGGTTCGAGCCCTCCGGGGGCGTTGTGTCGCTTTTTTTTTCTTTGCGCTGATAGCTTTGGAGAAATGTTCTGACGGTGGCAAGGAGAGCAGCACGACTGCCTCCGTGGCGCAATCGGCTAGCTCGTTCGGCTGTTAACCGAAAGGTTGGAGGTTCGAGCCCTCCCGGGGGCGTTGTCGTCGCTTTTTTTTCTTTGCGCTGATAGCTTTGGAGAAATGTTCTGACGGTGGCAAGAGAGCAGCACGACTTGCCTCCGTGGCGCAATCGGATAGCTCGTTGGGCTGTTAACCGAAAGGTTGGAGGTTCGAGCCCTCCCGGGGGCGTTGTGCTCGCTTTTTTTTTCTTTGCGCTGATAGCTTTGAGAAATGTTCTGACGGTGGCAAGAGAGCAGCATGACTGCCTCCGTGGCGCAATCTGGCTAGCCGTTCGGCTGTTAACCGAAAGGTTGGAGGTTCGAGCCCTCCCGGGGGCGTTGTCGTCGCTTTTTTTTTCTTTGCGCTGATAGCTTTGGAGAATGTTCTGACGGTGGCAAGGAGAGCAGCACGACTGCCTCCGTGGCGCAATCGGCTAGCTCGTTGGGCTGTTAACCGAAAGGTTGGAGGTTCGAGCCCTCCCGGGGGCGTTGTCTCGCTTTTTTTTCTTTGCGCTGATAGCTTTGGAGAAATGTTCTGACGGTGGCAAGAGAGCAGCACGACTGCCTCCGTGGCGCAATCGGATAGCGCGTTCGGCTGTTAACCGAAAGGTTGGAGGTTCGAGCCCTCCCGGGGGCGTTGTGTCGCTTTTTTTTCTTTGCGCTGATAGCTTTGGAGAAATGCTCTGACGGTGGCAAGAGAGCAGCACGACTGCCTCCGTGGCGCAATCGGATAGCGCGTTCGGCTGTTAACCGAAAGGTTGGAGGTTCGAGCCCTCCCGGGGGCGTTGTGTCGCTTTTTTTTCTTTGCGCTGATAGCTTTGGAGAAATGTTCTGACGGTGGCAAGAGAGCAGCACGACTGCCTCCGTGGCGCAATTGGCTAGCGCGTTCGGCTGTTAACCGAAAGGTTGGAGGTTCGAGCCCTCCCGGGGGCGTTGTCTCGCTTTTTTTTCTTTGCGCTGATAGCTTTGGAGAAATGTTCTGACGGTGGCAAGAGAGCAGCACGACTGCCTCCGTGGCGCAATTGGCTTGCTCGTTGGGCTGTTAACCGAAAGGTTGGAGGTTCGAGCCCTCCCGGGGGCGTTGTCTCGCTTTTTTTTTCTTTGCGCTGATAGCTTTGGAGAAATGCTCTGACGGTGGCAAGAGAGCAGCACGACTGCCTCCGTGGCGCAATGGCTTGCTCGTTGGCTGTTAACCGAAAGGTTGGAGGTTCGAGCCCTCCCGGGGGCGTTGCGTCGCTTTTTTTTCTTTGCGCTGATAGCTTTGGAGAAATGTTCTGACGGTGGCAAGAGAGCAGCACGACTGCCTCCGTGGCGCAATTGGCTTGCTCGTTGGCTGTTAACCGAAAGGTTGGAGGTTCGAGCCCTCCCGGGGGCGTTGTGCTCGCTTTTTTTTTCTTTGCGCTGATAGCTTTGGAGAAATGTTCTGACGGTGGCAAGAGAGCAGCACGACTGCCTCCGTGGCGCAATTGGCTTGCTCGTTGGGCTGTTAACCGAAAGGTTGGAGGTTCGAGCCCTCCCGGGGGCGTTGTGTCGCTTTTTTTTCTTTGCGCTGATAGCTTTGGAGAAATGCTCTGACGGTGGCAAGAGAGCAGCACGACTGCCTCCGTGGCGCAATTGGCTTGCTCGTTGGGCTGTTAACCGAAAGGTTGGAGGTTCGAGCCCTCCCGGGGGCGTTGTCTCGCTTTTTTTTCTTTGCGCTGATAGCTTTGGAGAAATGTTCTGACGGTGGCAAGAGAGCAGCACGACTGCCTCCGTGGCGCAATCGGATAGCGCGTTCGGCTGTTAACCGAAAGGTTGGAGGTTCGAGCCCTCCCGGGGCGATGTGTCGCTTTTTTTTTCTTTGCGCTGATAGCTGTAGAGAAATGCTCTGACGGTGGCAAGAGAGCAGCACGACTGCCTCCGTGGCGCAATTGGCTTGCTCGTTGGGCTGTTAACCGAAAGGTTGGAGGTTCGAGCCCTCCCGGGGGCGTTGTGTCGCTTTTTTTTTCTTTGCGCTGATAGCTTTGGAGAAATGCTCTGACGGTGGCAAGAGAGCAGCACGACTGCTCCGTGGCGCAATCGGATAGCGCGTTGGGCTGTTAACCGAAAGGTTGGAGGTTCGAGCCCTCCCGGGGGCGTTGTGTCGCTTTTTTTTCTTTGCGCTGATAGCTTTGGAGAAATGTTCTGACGGTGGCAAGAGAGCAGCACGACTGCCTCCGTGGCGCAATTGGCTTGCTCGTTGGGCTGTTAACCGAAAGGTTGGAGGTTCGAGCCCTCCCGGGGGCGTTGTCTCGCTTTTTTTTCTTTGCGCTGATAGCTTTGGAGAAATGTTCTGACGGTGGCAAGAGAGCAGGCACGACTGCCTCCGTGGCGCAATTGGCTTGCTCGTTGGGCTGTTAACCGAAAGGTTGGAGGTTCGAGCCCTCCCGGGGGCGTTGTGCTCGCTTTTTTTTCTTTGCGCTGATAGCTTTGGAGAAATGTTCTGACGGTGGCAAGAGAGCAGCACGACTGCCTCCGTGGCGCAATTGGCTTGCTCGTTGGGCTGTTAACCGAAAGGTTGGAGGTTCGAGCCCTCCCGGGGGCGTTGTCTCGCTTTTTTTTCTTTGCGCTGATAGCTTTGGAGAAATGTTCTGACGGTGGCAAGAGAGCAGCACGACTGCCTCCGTGGCGCAATTGGCTTGCTCGTTGGGCTATTAACCGAAAGGTTGGAGGTTCGAGCCCTCTCGGGGGCGTTGTCTCGCTTTTTTTTCTTTGCGCTGATAGCTTTGGAAATATGTTCTGACGGTGGCAAGAGAGCAGCACGACTGCCTTCCGTGGCGCAATTGGCTTGCGCGTTGGGCTGTTAACCGAAAGGTTGGAGGTTCGAGCCCTCCCGGGGGCGTTGTGTCGCTTTTTTTTCTTTGCGCTGATAGCTTTGGAGAAATGCTCTGACGGTGGCAAGAGAGCAGCACGACTGCCTCCGTGGCGCAATTGGCTTGCTCGTTGGGCTGTTAACCGAAAGGTTGGAGGTTCGAGCCCTCCCGGGGGCGTTGTGTCGCTTTTTTTTTCTTTGCGCTGATAGCTTTGGAGAAATGTTCTGACGGTGGCAAGAGAGCAGCACGACTGCCTCCGTGGCGCAATCGGATAGCGCGTTCGGCTGTTAACCGAAAGGTTGGAGGTTCGAGCCCTTCTGGGGCGTTGTCTCGCTTCTTTTTTCTTTGCGCTGATAGCTTTGATAGAATGTTCTGACGGTCGTGAGAGAGCAGGACGATCTGCCTCCGTGGCGCAATCGGATAGCGCGTTCGGCTGTTAACCGAAAGGTTGGAGGTTCGAGCCCTCCCGGGGGCGTTGTCTCGCTTCTTTTTTCTTGCGCTGATAGCTTTGATAGAATGTTCTGACGGTCGTGAGAGAGCAGGACGATTGCCTCCGTGGCGCAATCGGATAGCGCGTTCGGCTGTTAACCGAAAGGTTGGAGGTTCGAGCCCTGCTGGGGCGTTGTCTCGCTTCTTTTTTCTTTGCGCTGATAGCTTTGATAGAATGTTCTGACGGTCGTGAGAGAGCAGGACGATTGCCTCCGTGGCGCAATCGGATAGCGCGTTCGGCTGTTAACCGAAATGGTATGAGGTTCGAGCCTTCCGGGGGCGTTGTATCGCTTTTTTTTTCTTTGCGCGATAGCTTTGAGAAATGTTCTGACGGTGGCAAGAGAGCAGCACGACTGCCTCGTGGCGCAATTGGCTTGCTCGTTGGGCTGTAACCGTAAGGTTGGAGGTTAGCGAGCCCTCCCGGGGGCGTCGTTGTTTCGCTTTTTTTTTCTTTGCAATTGATAAGCTTTGGAGAATGTTCTGACGGTGGCTAGAAGCAAGCACGACTGCCTCCGTGGCGCAATTGGCTTGCTCGTTGGGGCTGTTAACCGAAAGGTTGAGGTTTCGAGCCCTCCCAGGGGCGTTGTCTCGCTTTTTTTTTCTTTGCGCTGATAGCTTTCGGAGAAATGTTCTGACGGTGGCGAAGAAGCAGCACGACTGCCTACGTGCTCGCCAATTGGCTTGCTCGATTGGGCATGTTAACCGAAGGTTGGAGGTTCGAGCCCTCCGGGGGCGTTGTCGCTTTTTTTTTCTTTGCGCTGATAGCTTTGGAAGAAATGTTCTGACGGTGGCAAGAGAGCAGCACGACTGCCTCCGTGGCGCAATCGGCTAGCGCGTTCGGGCTGTTAACCGAAAGGTTGGAGGTTCGAGCCCTCCCGGGGGCGTTGTCTCGCTTTTTTTTCTTTGCGCTGATAGCTTTGGAGAAATGTTCTGACGGTGGCAAGAGAGCAGCACGACTGCCTCCGTGGCGCAATTGGCTTGCTCGTTGGGCTGTTAACCGAAAGGTTGGAGGTTCGAGCCCTCCCGGGGGCGTTGTGTCGCTTTTTCTTTCTTTGCGCTGATAGCTTTGGAGAAATGCTCTGACGGTGGCAAGAGAGCAGCACGACTGCCTCCGTGGCGCAATCGGATAGCGCGTTCGGCTGTTAACCGAAAGGTTGGAGGTTCGAGCCCTCCCGGGGGCGTTGTGTCGCCTTTTTTTTCTTTGCGCTGATAGCTTTGGAGAAATGTTCTGACGGTGGCAAGAGAGCAGCACGACTGCCTCCGTGGCGCAATTGGCTTGCTCGTTGGGCTGTTAACCGAAAGGTTGGAGGTTCGAGCCCTCCCGGGGGCGTTGTGTCGCTTTTTTCTTTCTTTGCGCTGATAGCTTTGCAGAAATGCTCTGACGGTGGCAAGAGAGCAGCACGACTGCCTCCGTGGCGCAATTGGCTTGCTCGTTGGGCTGTTAACCGAAAGGTTGGAGGTTCGAGCCCTCCCGGGGGCGTTGTGTCGCTTTTTTTTTCTTTGCGCTGATAGCTTTGGAGAAATGCTCTGACGGTGGCAAGAGAGCAGCACGACCGCCTCCGTGGCGCAATTGGCTTGCTCGTTGGGCTGTTAACCGAAAGGTTGGAGGATCGAGCCCTCCCGGGGGCGTTGTGTCGCTTTTTTTTCTTTGCGCTGATAGCTTTGGAGAAATGCTCTGACGGTGGCAAGAGAGCAGCACGACTGCTTCCGTGGCGCAATTGGCTTGCTCGTTGGGCTGTTAACCGAAAGGTTGGAGGTTCGAGCCCTCCCGGGGGCGTTGTGTCGCTTTTTTTTTTCTTTGCGCTGATAGCTTTGGAGAAATGCTCTGACGGTGGCAAGAGAGCAGCACGACTGCCTCCGTGGCGCAATCGGCTTGCTCGTTGGGCTGTTAACCGAAAGGTTGGAGGTTCGAGCCCTCCCGGGGGCGTTGTGTCGCTTTTTTTTCTTTGCGCTGATAGCTTTGGAGAAATGCTCTTGACGGTGGCAAGAGGCAGCACGACTGCCTCCGTGGCGCAATTGGCTTGCTCGTTGGGCTGTAACCGAAAGGTTGGAGGTTCGAGCCCTCCCGGGGGCGTTGTGTCGCTTTTTTTTCTTTGCGCTGATAGCTTTGGAGAAATGTCTGACAGGTGGCAAGAGAGCAGCACGACTGCCTCCGCTGGCGCAATTGGCTAGCTCGTTGGGCTGTTAACCGAAAGGTTGGAGGCTTCGAGCCCTCCCGGGGGCGTTGTGTCGCTTTTTTTTTCTTTGCGCTGATAGCTTTAGAGAAATGTTCTGACGGTGGCAAGAGAGCAGCACGACTGCTCCGTGGCGCAATTGGCTAGCTCGTTGGGCTGTTAACCGAAGGTTGGAGGTTCGAGCCCTCACGGGTGCGTTGTCTCGCTTTTTTTTCTTTGCGCTGATAGCTTTGGAGAAATGCTTCTGACGGTGGCAAGAGAGCAGCACGATCTGCCTCCGTGGCGCAATTGGCTTGCTCGTTGGGCTGTTAACCGAAAGGTTGGAGGTTCGAGCCCTACCGGGGGCGTTGTGTCGCTTTTTTTCTTTCTTTGCGCTGATAGCTTTGGAGAAAAGCTTCTGACGGTGGCAAGAGAGCAGCACGACTGCCTCCGTGGCGCAATTGGCTTGCGCGTTGGGCTGTTAACCGAAAGGTTGGAGGTTCGAGCCCTCCCGGGGGCGTTTGTCTCGCTTTTTTTTTCTTTGCGCTGATAGCTTTGGAGAAATGTTTCTGACGGTGGCAAGAGAGCAGCACGACTGCCTCCGTGGCGCAATTGGCTTGCTCGTTGGGCTATAACCGAAAGGTTGGAGGTTCGAGCCCTCCCGGGGGCGTTGTGTCGCTTTTTTTCTTTGCGCTGATAGCTTTGGAATATGCTCTGACGGTGGCAAGAGAGCAGCACGACTGCCTCCGTGGCGCAATTGGCTTAGCCGGTTCGGCTGTTAACCGAAAGGTTGGAGGTTCGAGCCCTCCCGGGGGCGTTGCTGTCGCTTTTTTTTCTTTGCGCTGATAGCTTTGGAGAAATGCTCTGACGGTGGCAAGAGAGCAGCACGACTGCACTCCGTGGCGCAATTGGCTTAGCGCGTTCGGGCTGTTAACCGAAAGGTTGGAGGTTCGAGCCCTCCCGGGGGCGTTGTGTCGCTTTTTTTTTCTTTGCGCTGATAGCTTTGAGAAATGTTCTGACGGTGGCAAGAGAGCAGCACGATGCCTCCGTGGCGCAATTGGATTGCTCGTTGGGCTGTTAACCGAAAGGTTGGAGGTTCGAGCCCTCCGGGGGCGTTGTGTCGCTTTTTTTCTTCTTTGCGCTGATAGCTTGCAGAAATGCTTCTGACGGTGGCAAGAGAGCAGCACGACTGCCTCCGTGGCGCAATTGGCTTGCTCGTTGGGCTGTTAACCGAAAGGTTGGAGGTTCGAGCCCTCCAGGGGCGTTGTGTCGCTTTTTTTTCTTTGCGCTGATAGCTTTGGAGAAATGTTCTGACGGTGGCAAGAGAGCAGCACGACTGCCTCCGTGGCGCAATTGGCTTGCTCGTTGGGCTGTTAACCGAAGGTTGGAGGTTCGAGCCCTCCAGGGGCGTTGTCTCGCTTTTTTTTCTTTGCGCTGATAGCTTTGGAGAAATGCTCTGACGGTGGCAAGAGAGCAGCACGACTGCCTCCGTGGCGCAATGGCTTGCTCGTTGGGCTGTTAACCGAAAGGTTGGAGGTTCGAGCCCTCCCGGGGGCGTTGTTCGCTTTTTTTTCTTTGCGCTGATAGCTTTGGAGGAAATGTTCTGACGGTGGCAAGAAAGCAGCACGATGCCTCCGTGGCGCAATTGGCTTGCTGTTGGGCTGTTAACCGAAAGGTTGGAGGTTCGAGCCCTCCCGGGGGCGTTGTGTCGCTTTTTTTTCTTTGCGTGATAGCTTTGGAGAAATGTTCTTGACGGTGCAAGGAGAAGCAGGCACGACGCTTGCCTCCGTGGCGCAATTGGCTAGCTCGTTCGGCTGTTAACCGAAAGGTTGGAGGTTCGAGCCCTCCCGGGGCGTTGTCTCGCTTTTTTTTTCTTTGCGCTGATAGCTTTGGAGAAATGTTCTGACGGTGGCAAGAGAGCAGCACGACTTGCCTCCGTGGCGCCAATTGGCTATGTCGTTGGGCTGTTAACCGAAAGGTTGGAGGTTCGAGCCCTCCCGGGGGCGTTGTGTCGCTTTCTTTTTTCTTTGCGCTGATAGCTTTGATGGAATGTTTTGACGGTCGTGAGAGAGCAGGACGGACGATTGCCTCCGTGGCGCAATGGATTCCACTTCCGGCCACGACAGTGAACGGACGTGTTTATCATGTGCTCCCGCGTAGGGGCGGTTTCAGCGGCCCGTGTGGGCCGCGGTATCAGGTGTACCGAAAAGCCAGGCGAAGATTTCCAGGTTGTTCTGCCTCAGCTGCCTTCAGGTGATTCCGTTTTGCACACGGTTTTTTTGCACGGAAACTTGAAAGCCAGGCCATATCGAGTGGAGCATGTCCGAGACAGCCTTGCTCGTCTTTCGCTGCTGCCGGAAGTGGTTGCCCTAGGGGCATACCAAATGAATCATGTATGGGCAGTGACGTTCAAGGATGATGAGGGTAAAAAGAAGATGCTGGCGGCGGAGTCTTTTGATCTAAAGGACCATCGCTGTATGGTGGTTGACCCCCGTGATCGAGGTGTGCGGCTGAAGTTGTACTGGCTTCTTCATGGCGTGCCGGACGAGGCTGTGCGAGTCGCCTTAACGCCCTACGGAAAAGTGACCGAGATAAGCAGAGATAAATGGAAGGTGCAGGGTTGCAATGATAAAGGTTCAACCACGCGGTCGGTCACGCTGAGGCTACACGCGGGCGTGTCCGTGGACGACCTGCCACACCAACTGCGAGTTGCGGAGGATATGGCGCTCGTCGTAATTCCTGGCAGAGCACCGCTATGCCTCCGATGCCGGGCTATCGGACACATTCGACGGGATTGCCGCGTGCCGCGCTGTGGGGTCTGTCGTCGCTATGGCCACGATGACGCCCACTGTGTGAGGTCGTACGCCAGCATTGCGGGCCCAGGCCAAACAGACGAAGTGTCTGAACACCTGATGGATGCCGTGGATGCCGAAGAAGCGAGCAGGGAAGACGGTTATACGGAAGGCCCTGCCACGCCCCTGAACAGTCTTCTGGGGCCGCACTGGAATCTACCAATAAAGGCGACAAGCACTCTGGTGCGCCAGGAACGAATTTAGACACGGCAGCAGTAGAGAACGACGCTACAGCAGCGAGCAAGTCATCTTCAGCTGCGCGAGAGGGCGGCCCGGAAGCAACGGACGCCGAGATGACCAAGGCCGGTGCTATCGCTTTTAAGCGAGCTCGTGAAACACCTGACCGTACCGGAAATGTTGACACGTCGGCCATCAATGAACCTCCAACAAAGACGGCGACTGGTCGTCGGCCTACCTTTAAACCACGACCAAACCTGTCTCCTGACCGTAGGGGCACTCAAACGTCGGCCCCGCCGTAGCGGAGGAGACGTTCCGAGGCTTTCTACGCTGAGCACACGCAACCACTGTTGCGACGTGAGTATGACACCTGACGAAACAACCTTCAAGAAATGGCGACTAACTTTAAAACTGGTATTTGCATCGCGACGTTGAACTCAAGAGGCCTGTGTTCGCGCAGGAGACAATGCCAGATTAGTCGCATTTTGTTAGAAAACGACATAGACCTCCTGGCTGTACAAGAAACTAAAATGGAAAGTGAAGAACAAACGGAGCAAATGGTTCAAGTTTTTCGCTCTAGGTACAATGTCTGCGTTTGTCATGCTGTTGGGCGGTCAGGAGGCTGTGTCGTTTTCATACGTAGTAGTATCGCGGTTGTTGAAAATGTGTCTACCTGCGATAGCGGTAGGCTGGTTGTGTGCGACTTCAGTGTTTCTGGAATGCCTTGGCGCGTTGTGTGTGTTTATGCACCGAATAGATCGCACGAACGGGAATTTTTTTTCAGAGCGATTGAAGGATTCTTGAAAACGGAAAGAAATGTTGTGGTTCTAGGGGACTTCAATTGTGTCTGTAGAGCTGAGGATAAGACAACGAGCTTCAATGTGCGCGATAGAAGCGCTGAGCTGTTGAATAAAATAGTGAACGAGACAGGGCTGGAAGATGTCGGTTATGTAATGACGCGAGAGGGTGAAGTAGGATATACGCACTTTCAAGGTCATTCGCACGCGAGGTTAGACAGAATATATTTGTCGGCAAAGTTGGTGCCACTATGCTCATCTTATCAAATTCAACATCTTAGTTTTAGTGATCATTGTCTGGTCAAGGTCAACATTGGCGAAAAACGTAAGGCTGCGAAGTTTAATTGGTTTCTATGGAAATTTAATGAAAAGCTGCTGCAAGATGAAATATTTGTCACAAAAACCAAAGAATGTCTTTCAAATGCTCTTCGTTTGGAGACCAATAACTTCATAGCTGTGTGGGAGCAAATGAAGTGTGATATAAAGATGATAGCGATTGAAAGAGCCTGTGTATTACGTAATCGGGAAAGGCAACAAGAGAGGCAGTTACAAAGCGAACTAGACTACATGTTAAGCGTAGAAAATGAAGTGCCGGGAAAATTTAAGAAAGAAATAAAGGAGGCGAAAGCAAAGCTCGAATTCATCGACGACGAAAAGTACCGCGGAGCAATGATAAGGGCTCGCACTGAACGGCTGTGGATGGGTGAAACGCCCACTAAGCGGGTGCTCAGTGAAGAAAAGAAACATGCAGCAAACAAAGAGATAAATGAAATTCGATACCGCAATTACATTACCCGGGACCGCGAACAGATAAAGCACGCCTTTGTCGAGTTTTATACGCAACTCCTTAGCCATACAATCAATGACCCCGAACGATTCAAAGAGGACTTTCTGACCCTTATGCCGAGATTGGAAGACTCTGAGCGGGAGCTACTGGAAGTAGAAATCACTGTGGCAGAAATTGAATCAGCTATAGATAACCTGGGTAACGGCAAGTCACCAGGGCCGGATGGGCTTGGTGCTGCCATATACAAATTTTTTAAGACAGAAATGGCACTGGCATTACACCGAGTGATCAGAGAATGCTACGACAAGCAGCAAACACCTCATTCATTTAGGACAGCACACGTAGTATTAATCCCCAAAACTGATGACCCCGCAAAGCTACTTTCAGTGGAATCCTACCGACCTATCAGTTTGAGCAACACTGACTATAAAATATACACGAAGGTCCTAGCAAGACGGCTCCAAAGTGTTGTCACATCCCTTGTCGGCCCGCATCAGACATGTGGGATTAAGGGCAGAACCATATTCACAAATATACACGTAACCAGAAGTATTCTAGAATGCTGTGATGCAAATAATGACCGCGTGGCCATGATTCAGCTAGACCTGCACAAAGCGTTCGATAAAGTCGTACATGAAATTTTGTTTTTATTGCTGGAACATGTGAATGTAGGAACTGTCATTACAGAAGGCGTTAGAATGGTGTATCATGACTGCAGGGCTAATTTAGTAATCAACAAAGAAGTAAGTGCTTCAATTCCTGTGCGCTCGAGCGTGAAGCAAGGTTGTGCCTTGTCGCCACTCCTTTTCGCGCTTTACTTAGAGCCCTTCTGTTTACGAATACTTGCATCACCAAGTATAAGAGGGTATACGTTTCTGACCAGTGGAATTAGAATTTTAGCCTATGCTGATGACGTCGCAGTGTTTTGCAGTGACAAAGAAAGTGTGCAAGAAGTTGTACGAATAGCTAGGGAATTCTGTGCAGCAACGGGCAGCGCAATCAGTTGGCCAAAATGTCTAGGCGTTTGGCATGGCCAGTGGCAAAGCACACCCGAAGTTTACTGTAACATGAATTGGAAAATCATGCCCGGAAAGTACCTCGGTGTGCCTTTGGATCACTACCGCAATGCTACGGAGTATTGGTCTGAGGAACGTCAACGCATTAAAAATTGTACTGATAAGTGGGGAGGTCGCAATTTATCAATGTTTGCAAAAGCGTCCGTGTGCAATGTATTTCTGATTGCAAAAGTGTTTTATGTATTACAAGTGTTAACCATGACCCGCACTTCGGTCCAGAAAATGCACCGAGTATTCGCGACCTTTATATGGGGTCGCAGTGGGAGCGCACGAGCCGGTGCAATTTATTTCATAGGGTAAAATATGGTGGTCTGGGGCTTTTGCATTTGTTTTTTAAGCAGTTGGTGAGCAGATTCATGTTCGCTCGAGATCAAACTGACAATTTCTTGAGAACTGTGATCCAAGCAAGACTGCAGACCCCCTTATCTGATTTCGTCGTGTCATCTTTTTCCTTCGAAGCTGGACCACTCAGTCCTTATTTGCGAGAAGTAGTTACAGCTACACGCCTGCTCAAGGAAAGATTTTCGTACGAATACTTGTCCGACGTGACTAAAAGAAACTGTATCGTGACCTTCTTGATGTCTTCCTGCCAGTGCCCGTCTACCGAGCTTCGTGCAGGCTAGGTTCTGAGCGTGACGTGTTTAAACGTGTTAAGAGAATGCCGGTCAGACCCTCTGTCAAAACATTCTTCTTTCAAGTGCATACCGGCACTCTCCCTGTACTGCCATGGCTAAAAAGTAAAGGGCTTTTTGTACCGTGGTCCGTCAACTGTCTAATCTGCGGCAAACCAGAAACGATAAATCATATCTTTCTCGACTGCCATGATGCTGTGTTCTTGTGGGACGTACTACAACGGACTATAAAAAGGAACTACCTATCAACGCTTTTGGAATCCGTTTTCTTCCGTGTGCAGCTGCAGGGGAAGTGCCGAGTGACATGTTAATGTTGCTTTGCATGCATAGTGTGTGGAGGACAAGAATGGATGTTCGACATATGCGTGTAGACGCACGTTCAGCGAGAGACTATTTTGTTGAGAGTATGCTGTATACACGAGACGTGTTTAAAGCGCTGCCTGAACCCCCCGAGTGGTTACCTGTGCTCGACCAATTGGCTTCTGTGAAGCCTTTTTAAACCAAGTGCACTGGCCAAGTTGAAGCTGGTGTTTTAGTAAGTGTACATATTTGTATGTATTTCCTTTGCTTGTGGTTATTAAAAGGCAATAAAGAAAAAAAAAAAAAAGCCTCCGTGGCGCAATCGGCTAGCGCGTTCGGCTGTTAACCGAAAGGTTGGAGGTTCGAGCCCTCCCGGGGGCGTTGTCGTCGCTTTCTTTTTCTTTGCTCGTATAGCTTTGAGGAATGTTCTGACGGTCGTGGAGAGAGCTGGACGACGATTGCCTCCGTGGCGCAATCGGCTAGCGCGTTCGGCGTGTTAGCCGAAAGGTTGTAGGGTTCGAGCCCTCCCCGGGGGCGTTGTCTCGCTTTTTTTTATTTGCGCTGATAGCTTTGATGGAATGTTCTGACGGTCGTGAGAGACCAGCACGACTGCCTCCGTGGCGCAATTGGCTAGCGCGTTCGGCTGTTAACCGAAAGGTTGGAGGTTCAAGCCCTCCCGGGGACGGGGTGTCGCTTTTTTTTCTTTGCGCTGACAGCTTTGGAGAAATGTTCTGACGGTGGTAAGAGAGCAGCACGACTGCCTCCGTGGCGCAATCGGCTAGCGCATTCGGCTGTCAACCGAAAGCTGGAGGTTAGAGCCCTCCCGGTGGCGGTGTGTCGCTATTTTTTTTCTTTCCGCTCATAGCTTTGATGGAATATACTGACGGTCGTGAGAGAGCTGGACGATTGCCTCCGTGGCGCAATCGGATAGCGCGTTCGGCTGTTAACCGAAAGGTGGAGGTTCGAGCCCTCCGGGGGCGTGGTCTCGCTTCTTTTTTCTTTGCGCGGATAGCTTTGATGGAATGTTCTGACGGTCGTGAGAGAGCAGGACGGACGATTGCCTCCGTGGCGCAATCGGCTAGCGCATTCGGCTGTTAACCGAAAGGTTGGAGGTTCGAGCCCTCCCGGGGGCGAGGTGTCGCTTTTTTTTCTTTGCGCTGACAGCTTTGGAGAAATGTTCTGACGGTGGTGAGAGAGCAGCACGACTGCCTCCGTGGCGCAATTGGCTAGCGCGTTCGGCTGTTAACCGAAAGGTTGGAGGTTCGAGCCCTCCGGGGGCGTTGTCTCGCTTCTTTTTTCTTTGCGCTGATAGCTTTGATGGAATGTTCTGACGGTCGTGAGAGAGCTGGACGATTGCCTCCGTGGCGCAATCGGATAGCGTGTTCGGCTGTTAACCGAAAGGTTGGAGGTTCGAGCCCTCCCGGGGGCGTTGTCTCGCTTTTTTTTCTTTGCGCGGATAGCTTTGAAAGGTTGGAGGTTCGAGCCCTCCGGGGGCGTTGTCTCGCTTCTTTTTCTTTGCGCTGATAGCTTTGATGGAATGTTCTGACGGTCGTGAGAGAGCTGGACGATTGCCTCCGTGGCGCAATCGGATAGCGCGTTCGGCTGTTAACCGAAAGGTTGGAGGTTCGAGCCCTCCCGGGGCGTTGTCTCGCTTCTTTTTCTTTGCGCTGATAGCTTTGATGGAATGTTCTGACGGTCGTGAGAGAGCAGGACGGACGATTGCCTCCGTGGCGCAATCGGCTAGCGCGTTCGGCTGTTAACCGAAAGGTTGGAGGTTCGAGCCCTCCCGGGGCGTTGTCTCGCTTCTTTTTCTTTGCGCTGATAGCTTTGATGGAATGTTCTGACGGTCGTGAGAGAGCTGGGACGATGCTCCTCCGTGGCGCCAATCGGATAGCGTGTTCGGCTGTTAACGAAGGGTGGATGTTCGAGGCTTCCCGGGCGCATTGTCGCGCTTTTTTCTTTGCACTTATAGCTTTGATAGAATGTTCTGACGGTCGTGAGAGAGCGGACGATTGCCTCGTGCGCAATCGGCTAGCACATTCGCTGTTAACCGAAAGGTGGAGGTTCGAGCCATCCCGGGGGCGAGTGTCGCTTTTTTTTCTTTGCGCTGATAGCTTTGGAGAAATGCTCTGACGGTGGCAAGAGAGCAGCACGACTGCCTCGTGGCGCAATTGGCTTGCTCGTTGGGCTGTTAACGAAAGGTTGGAGGTTCGAGCCCTCCGGGGGCGTTGTCTCGCTTTTTTTTCTTTGCGATGATAGCTTTGGAGAAATGATCTGACGGTGGGCAAGAGAGCAGCACCGACTGCCTCCGTGGCGCAATCGGATAGCGCGTTGGCTGTTAACCGAAGGTGGAGGTTCGAGCCCTCCCGGGGGCGTTGTCGTCGCTTTTTTTCTTTTGCGCTGATAGCTTTGGAGAAATGTTCTGACGGTGGCAAGAGAGCAGCACGACTGCCTCCGTGGCGCAATTGGATTTAGCTCGTTGGGCTGTTAACCGAAAGGTTGGAGGTTCGAGCCCTCCGGGGGCGTTTGTGTCGCTTTTTTTTTCTTTGCGCTGATAGCTTTGGAGAAATGCTCTGACGGTGGGCAAGGAGGAGCAGCACGACTGCCTCCGTGGCGCAATTGCTAGCGCGTTCGGCTGTAACCGAAAGGTTGGTTCGAGCCCTCCGGGGGCGTTGTGTCGCTTTATTTCTTTCGCTGATAGCTTTGGAGAAATGTTGGACGGTGGCAAGAGAGCAGCACGATTGCCTCCGTGGCGCAATCGGCTAGCGCATTCGGCTGTCAACGAAAGGTTGGAGGTTAGAGCCCTCCGGTGGCGGCCGTGGTGTCGCTATTTTTTTTCTTTCCGCTGATAGCATTGAAAAAAGTTCTGACGGCGGTAAGAGAGCAGCATGATTGCCTCCGTGGCGCTGTCAGCTAGCTCGTTGGGCTGTTAACCGACAGGTTGGAAATTCGAGCCCTCCCGGGGACGGGGTGTCGCTTTTTTAGATGCGGAGCATCTAATACTCGAGGCTTGTAGTGCGGCGCCGTCCGCAAGCTTCCTCCTCCTCTTCACCATCTGTGCATCCCTTT